CCTTCCTTCCTTCCTTCCTTCCTTCCTTCCTTCCTTCCTTCCTTCCTTCCTTCCTTCCTTTGTCAGGATGCCTTGTGACTTAGGCTGACCTCAAACTTGTGACAGTCCTCCTGCCTCATTATGCTAAGTGCTGGGATTACAGGTGTGCATAGTCATACCTATCAACAGTTGTTCATTTTTCCCCCCAAACAAGCTTTATTGAGACCTAATCTATTTACCACTGACAATACATGATTGTGAGTATTCTCATAGATATTTGTAACCATAACCACAATGGGTTTAAAATACTTTCAAAATGAAGCCTGGACCCCTTACCTATTGTCAACTTGTGCCCCTATCTCTTCAACTCAAACTATCTTGAGTTGTTACCTCTGTAGAGTGACCTATTCTGGACACTAATATAAATTGAATATGTGGTCTTTCAAAGTTAATCCATGTAGCACATATCACTCCTTCAAGACCAGTAGTTGTTGTTAGTCAAGATACTGATTTGTATCTGAAGTGATTACTTTCAGGGAAGGGCTGCTTGCCTGGGAAGTGTCCATTGAGAGCATCAGGAAATTCAGGTTTTAATGGCAGTGCTGATATATACTAGCCATGTGATTGTTGTCAAGTTGTTTGTCCCTTTGTATCTAATTTCCTCATTTTTCAATGAGAGATAATGTATACCCTGCCCATTCTCCAGAAATGTTGTCCAATGCACTTGATGAATATGGAAGATAGGAGAAAATAGAACACACTAATGTGTATTAAACAAGTATTTATCAAACATCCATTCACATAAGCTCCACAGAAGACATGTAAGGGATTCAGAATTATGTTAATCATTAAAGAATTCTAGTCCAAAAGTTCTTCAAATGACATCAAACTGTCTACTTCAAACTTTCGGTGGCCTGAGGATAAAAGTCGGCCATGGTCTTTATAACTTCATTTTACATGTTTCTGCTTTATTTAACTTCAGTACCTGTTGCTAGTTGCCCTCCTACTACAGAAATTTTCTTCTCTTCATGTTTTCCTCAACTTAGACAATGTTCCTCTTCTTAACCAAGAAGTTCCTGTTGCTATTCTTTATCATCCTACTCTATGATCTAAGGTAATTGTCTCCTGCCTTGCTGGGTAGAGCAAACTTCTCTTGTGTGGACTCTCAGCACAGTGTCTTCTTATTTATAGTGTTTCACACTTCAGTCATTAATATCTACTTCCCCTGAGACTGCAAGCACTCGGTGGGAAGGGGCTGTCTTAGTTACTTTTCTGTTGCTGTAATAAGACACCATGAACAAGGTAATTTAGTTCATAGAGTGAGTTCATGACCATCATAGTTAGGAACATGACAGTAAGAAGGCAGGCATGGCTCTAAGGCAAGTAACTGAGATCTTACATCTTGAACCACAAGTGCAAGGTAGAGACAGAGACACTGAGTGGTATACACTTTTGAAACCTCAAACCTGCTCCTAGTGGCAAACCTCCTTCAAGAAAACCACACCTCCAATCCTTTCCAAACAGCCCTAGCAGCTGGTGTCCAAGTGCTGAAATATGAGCTACTGGGAGGCCATTCTCACTCGAACCAGCACAGGGGCCATGCTTGTTTTTGTTTACTAGCTCAGATTCATTAACTAGCAGACAGATTTCTGACTGAGTGATTGAATATGTCCTAAGAGATACAGAAAAATCTATGAAGAACCAAGAAAGTTCTTCATAGAACTTTTTTTTTTCCAGATGAGCCCTACAAGAGATTGCAAAGTGACATTTACATGCTGGCTTATAAATGCTTCTTATTATCTTGCTGACAGAATATGAGTGATACTGATGTCCATATGACAGAAATTTTGCTAAATTTTGTTACTTTCTTTTTCAGGACTTATTCTTTGATTGATCATGCCATAGGCAATAACACATTCTCTTTTGGCAGCCCAAGCATGAGCCACTTATCATCTTCTGTGACCTCATGGGTGTGGATTATGAAGAGATGTGTCACTGGCTCTGCCACCGAAAGCTGGCTACTACCACGGAGACATATATCAAGCCCATCTCCAAGCTTCAGGCCACAAATGCCCGAGATGCTTTAGCAAAGCACATCTATGCAAAACTCTTCAGCTGGATTGTAGATCACGTCAATCAGGCTCTCCATTCTGCTGTCAAGCAGCACTCTTTCATTGGTGTGCTAGATATTTATGGGTAAGTCCATTTGGCTTATTGCCCTAACCTGCTGGAAAGCAGTTGTTTATCGCTAGTGTTTTGTAACTCTGAGCACTATTTAATTTTGTTTTCTTCTGGAGAAGAAAGGAAATCCTACTTATGACCATTCAGAAGTGTCTTTGATGATGGAAATATAATGGTGCTAAAAAAATAATTAAGCCCTGCTTAAACAAAAATTAGCTCAACTCCAGTCCTACTAACTAATCTAATAGGTAGAGTTAATTGATTTCAGACTCTTGTATGATTAATTATTGATTTTCTGAAAATATAATTTCATTTCTAGTTGTCTTCTCTGGTTACATTTCTGTAATTGTTGAAACCTTTTTGGTAGCTAATTTTTCACCCTTTGATTCGGTTTTTCAGAAGCACCTATAGCATTACTATTTCTATCCCATCTCTGAGGATAGAAATTTTGATAGTATAAACTGAGAGGAACTGTGGCCTTAGCATAGTTATGCTCTTTTGTACTGGAGGGCGAATGAACCTCAAACCCCCAAAGCTGCACATCTGTAGGCTGGACCATACAGGGAAGCTTTGTCTCAGCCAATGCCCATCATGTTATGTCTTACCAGCAACCTTTATCTGATGTGTAAACAAGATGTGATAGTGTTAAAGAACTTCTCATTTCCTCTTCCAAGTATGCTTATTTTCAATATTTTTTAAAGATATTTATTCTTTTTCTTTCCTTCCTACCTTACTTTTTTGGTGTTACAGATTTGAAACTTTTGAGATAAATAGTTTTGAACAGTTTTGCATAAATTATGCAAATGAAAAACTGCAGCAACAATTCAACATGGTAAGAATTTTCTTTCTTGAATAAAATTCTGCTATAGATTTTTCTTTTGAATTCTTAGTTTTTGTTAGAAGCTTGGTCAGTGAAATAAACTCCTGAACTATAATTATTATTTGGGTTTAGAATAGTGAAACTGCCAAGGAATTGAGCATTACAAATTAATGTAGCATTAAAAATAGTTTTGTCAGTTATCACTTATCTAGAATAATGAGCATTTGGGCAGATAATTTGAATGAGAGTTGTAAGTTGGGCAGACACTAACATTGAGTCCTTCTGCATGCTGTTTGGAAGCCAACAATATGTGGAGTTATAACTACATTAACCACCATTTTCTGTGTTACCAAGATGTCAGAATTTCAAATTCTCTTTTCAGTGGGGAAAATTCTTCCCTGAGGCAACAGCAATGGGCATATTTTGGAAGTGGCCCTTATTGGCTAACCTCCTGCCTCTGCATTCTGAGTACTGGGTACATTCAAGTACTGACTTGGCCACCACCTCACCACCCACATCAAACAAAATGTTTTTTTTTGTCTGAAATGAATGATAAATTTCTTTCAAAATAATCTGTACATAAATTGTCATAACAGTGTGAAACAGTAAAATGTGCTTGAAAAACACCCTTTTTATTTTCAGAGAGAGCAAATTTATATTCGGTAAAGTTAGAGATGACATAGTTCATATTTAGGTTTTGCTGAGTCATTAAAAAGAAGAGAAAAGTTTCAACTGTGATGGAATACTGTGTTATGTTTAAATGCTACTTGTTTTCAAATTTTATTTTCTATGATACGGAAACTTTTTCATATATATGTATTCAGCAGTATGTATATATTGCCGAGTAAAGACCAATAAATGGGGAAAACAAAGACAAAGTTTCAAATTGAGAGGTCAAAAAAAGCTGATGAGCATAATCTTTTAAAATATGAAATAAGTACTAAAAAGTAGCAAAGAAAATTAAAAATTTTTGCATAGAGACAGATTGGGTTTTGTGCATTTTGGACTGAAGTTTTTAAGTGTATGACATTGTCGAATATTTTAAGTACTTTTGTAAACAAACCATCTTTGTTTAGCAAGTAAAGCTGTTTGTTGCAGTGAAATAATGTAGAAGAGATCTTAAAAATGCTAAGGTTTTCCATAATAACAGGACCAAGTTTTCACCAGTTATGGATAGTTGTAAACTATCTGTGAGTACTGGGAACTGAACCCAGCTCGTCTACAAGGCAACAAGTGCTCTTAAACACTGAGCCATCTCTCCAGTCCCAAATCCTTAGTTCTTAATGGTATCCTGTTTACCACTTTATTAATAGTAATAAAAAACAGAAGAAATTTGTTAATTTGAATTATATATATATATATATTTTATATATAGATATAGATATCTTTTAGATAAAGGATCATTACTACAAATAAGCTAAGATGATATTGTCATAAGTGTAAAATAGAGTGGGGAAGAGAGAGAGAGAGAGAGAGAGAGAGAGAGAGAGTCAAAAGTCTCGGTGTCATCTTTGAGTTCTAAAACATGGGGTCCTAGAAAATAAGTATTTTTAGGTCACATCCATAAGAGACTACTTTTTCTAGAAAAAAAAATGGCAAGAAAGAGTGAACCAAAGGATCCAGAAGAAATAAATAAAGAAAAATTTAGCATGTGTAATTCTTTGTGACTCTTTGATTTCTCCAGTTCTCTCCCCATTCACAAGTGCAGCATCCATGTCTGTGTTGTTGACCACACGCAGTGGCTGTCACATAGTATAGACTCGGTGCCTAAGCTGATTAAAGATTGGTGGAGATAAGTAGTGGTGTGCATGGTGCCTGGAGCCTTCAGCAGAGGTTCAGCGCATTGGTAGTGCTTGTAGCTGCTTGCAGTGTTCAGTGTACATTCCAGAAATGTGAGCCCTCGATTCCCTGTCTGAGAAAATCAAGGTAGATGTTCAAGGACAACTGTCATCTAATTCTGAGGCACCTATACTTCTAAACACAGCAACTTGGAAAAATTATTTTTTGCAGTGAAATCAGTGCCTGGCTGTTCAGTAACCTGGAAAACATTCATTCTGCATAGCTGACCAATGCCCACTGAGGCATTCCTGTTCTCATGTTAGCATTTCTGTGCAATAAGTTCAGGAAAAAGTTACACAGCTTTGGAAATGTGCATTTAAAAAAATCACAAGGACTATTGTATTTATCTGCATAGTGTGGTGATACATGCCTGTAATCCCAACAGTTGGGAGCCTTAGCCAGAGTACAAATTCAAAGCTGGCCTGGGCTACATAAAGAGTCTTAGGCTAATCTGGTCTACATATTGAGACCCTGTCCTAAACAAAATAAAATTTAAAAAAAATTTACATGCTTAGATTTATTTCTTCATGCTGAATACTTACAGCTGAGGTTTTCTGTACATGATTTCAGTCACGCTTCTCCACGGTGCTTTTGTTGCTGGAAGCCATTAGCTATCTCATTATGTGGGTTTCCTTGATATTCTTTAGACACATGCTTCTTGATTACGTTCTTTATGGTAGTGACTTCTGTTTTCTCTTTATTTCAGCATGTCTTCAAATTGGAACAGGAGGAATATATGAAGGAACAAATTCCATGGACACTCATAGATTTTTATGATAATCAGCCTTGTATCAATCTTATAGAATCTAAACTGGGAATTCTAGATTTGCTGGATGAGGAATGTAAGGTGATTATGATTTTCTGGAGTACTTAAGCCTGTCAGAATAGATGCATCAAGCTACGTGGCAAGTGCGTGCAAGCAGAGAGATGCTTCAGTATGAGATACTGTCGTGACAAGTCAGGGGTCACGCTTCCATTCTGAAGAAACACTAGATACTAGTCCCCAAAGGGTCTTTTAAATTCATAAATCTTTGATGTTTTTATTAGTAGTAGTATATATTGAAAGAAGTATTAAAAATTGTACAAAAAGTATTTTGAATTATAGTTCTAAATAGTTAAAAGTTTATATTGATTAGTTGTCTTTGCTACTGACATAAATAAATATTCTTTAACTTTAACATTTATAGACGTAGCATGTTAGAAAGTCAATGGATCCTTCACTTTATTACTGAATGACCTTAGGTGAATCTATCTTTTTTCTTAATCTTTTTTCCTTTAGTTTATCTACAATAAATCACAACCTATCATGCGTTTACCCTCATATGAAGCCATACTAGTGTGTTTAAAATAGAGGTAGGGCTGCTGAGATGACTCAGTGGGTAAAATGTATGCCATACAGATCTGACAACCTGAGCCAAAAGCATGCATGTGGTAGAAAATATTCTTTCTTACTTGAGATTAGAAATATGAAAGCAAAGCAAAAATGATATCCTGAAGTTACTTTAAACTTTCTTTTGTTGAAACTAACTTAATATTACATGTATATATTTGATGAAGGGCAAGAATTCATGCAACATGTTTTATAGAAATGCAGATTCATAAATGTGTATACCTTTTGACTTGGGAGTTTAGCCTATAAGTATACTTGCAAATATAGAAAGGTATATATGTATAAGAGGAATATGACAGTTGTCATAACAAAAAGTTAATAACAACCTAGACCATAAGTAAGAAGGGAAAATGCAAGGAGTATATGGAATGAGCCCTTTTATTACATGTCTTAAAAACAGGAAAAAATAATAAAGTTTCTAGAAATGACAAGAAGAGATTACCAATTCATATCTTTCTGGATTAAGTTAATATTTCACTGTGTATAAATGTTACCTCCATTTAGCAAAACAAAACAAAAAAGATGGAATACAACCTAATAGTTGTATTTCATCTTTAGCTTGTAAAGCCTTTATTGTGTTAATGCATTAAATATTGATTTGATGATTCCTGGTATAGCAAATATTCACTCCAATGTGCTGCATCAGCCCAATGAAAGGCTCAGCCATGCCTTCATTGGTGGCTCATTTGTGCTGATGAGAAGGGAAAATGAGCTCTTAAGTTGAACATAGAAACTGGCTTCTTGTTGCTGATATAGCAGAGGACCCTTAATGCTCAGTAATTTCTCTTTCTTTTTTCTCCCCAAGATGCCTAAAGGCACAGATGATACATGGGCCCAAAAGCTGTACAACACACATTTGAACAAATGTGCTCTCTTTGAGAAGCCCCGTATGTCAAACAAAGCTTTCATCATCAAACATTTTGCTGACAAAGTAAGAAAACTTTTTGTCTTTTTTCCTTTTTTAATACTTTATGTTAAATTATAACAGAAATCAGTAGTCAAGTATTATTTTTCCTTTGCAGTGCTTGCTTTCTTTAAGGTCATTTCAGGAAAAGCAACAGTGCTGGGTACTTGGTTTTTTTCTTTCTTTAACTTCAGTTGGATTATAGATTAAATAAATACAGGTCAAAAGTCTTTTGCCTGAAATTTTGAAATTCAAGAAACTGAGAACCTCAAGTGTTTCGTAACTCATTTAGCAGTCAAACCTGATCTATGGCTTGAGCTAGCATGAGATAGGTTTATGATTTTTAAGTATGGAGATATTAATGTTTATGTAATGTATGGTCTAGATGGCTTTATTAAACTTTTCTGATATTTAGACTGGTATGTATACATACTACATCTCTAAATACATGAAAAATTCTATGAAAGCATGGTGATATGTTCTTTATAAGTTCTACAGTTCACTGAGCAGTCAGGGGTCCTGTGACTAGTTTGCATTTCAAGGAAGTTGTGGGATAGGCAGTGTTGTGAGATTTTGGAGGCCTTTTTATGAAGAGTTTTCTGATTGTCTAGTCCTGACTTGAAACCTTTGAATGACTAAGGTGATCTAAGGAGTATAGGAGGTAGAGCCCCTTGAGTGCAGATGACTAAAGTTGTATGGTTTTCAAAGAAAAGGAATTAATTCTCAAATAGTCCCACTTTACCAAATTATACAATATTTGCCCATCTTCTCCCTCTGTCCATCATCAGCTGCTGACTCTTCCCATACTCTCTCCTCTTAATCTTTTCTCTCTTCAAAGCAGTGGTCCTCAATCTGCTACGACTCTTTAATACAGTTCCTCATGTTGTGGAGTCCCCCAACTGTAAAATTGTTTTCGTTGCTATTTCATAACTGTAATTTTGCTACTGTTATGCATTATATTATAAATTATCTGTTTTCTAATGGTCTTAGGTGACCCCTATAAGAGTACTTTGATCCCCAAAGGAGTTGTGACCCACAGTTTGAGAACCGCTGCCTCCAAGGAACACTTGTGCTTGATGCAGGTGGTGTTCTAGCATAGAAGATATGCTGAGTCAGCCTGGGAGGTGTTCTCTTTTCCACGGGGAGAACAGCTTACAAGTCTACTTACCCACGAATTGACAGATGATTTTGATCATTTATAGTAGTCACTGCCACTCTTATCTAGGAAATTGGTATTTGTAGACTTTTACCAGAATTGCATATTTCTTTTTTTATTCTGCTATTTTGGTTTTTTATTTTAAAAAGTTAACATATAGGATAATGAATTTTTGTATTTTGAGACAAGGTCTGTGTAGCTAAGGCTGGTATTAAACTTACTGTGTAGCTGAGGCCAACCTTGAATTCTAATCTTCGTGCTTCTACCTAATAGTTGCTGAAAGTATTGGCGTGTGCTATGGATTTCTTTTTATCCTTTTTTTTTCTTACATACTTTGTTCTTAATTGTTCCCCTCCTCTAGCCCTTTCCAGTTTCTGCCCTCCTCCTGTGATCACATTCCATATCTCATGGCTACAGTTCTGCCTTCAGGTCACATTGGTTCCATTGGTTGCCTTTTATTTTCCCTATTGAGAGCTCCCTTTTCTAGTTTTACAACCTACATTCATATCTGTGCACATGCACACACACATACACATTGAAGTCTAGTATCTACATATGAGAGAAGGCTTGAAATGTTCGTCTCTCTGAGTTTGATTTACTTCATTTAACATAACATTTTCAGTTGTATCAGTTTTCCTACAAATGCATCGATTTAATGACATTTTATTTTTTACTGTGGCTGGATAAAATTCCATTTTGTGTGTACCACATTTTCTTTATCCACTCATCTGTTGATGAACTTTAAGACTGGTTCCATTTCTAGCTGTTATAAATAATGCAGCAATAAGCACGGATATGCAGGAAACTCTCTAATAGTGCTTAGAGTCCTTTGTGCATATCTTGTCTGGTTTGCAGTAGTGAATTACCATATTTTCCCTAGGAATGGTACTGATCTCTTAGAAAAAACTGATAATACCACTTGCTGAGAGCTAGTCATAGAGCGCAGGCAAATAAAAATGCTTTTGTTGATGATGGCAACATCTATTCAAAAGTGTTACCAGTTAAGGAGATTTTTTTCATGTGATTTCAGGTGGAGTACCAGTGTGAAGGTTTTCTTGAAAAGAATAAAGACACTGTTTTTGAAGAACAAATTAACGTCCTTAAGTCAAGCAAGGTAACCATGGATAGGCTTACTCTTATCAGGATATGTTCTATAAAATGTTAATTGCTTTAGCATCAATCTTTTAATATTAATAATGATTTTCTAACAAATTTTAATCAAAATTTTCATTTGTCAAATATATAATACTTACTTAATATGTGTCTGGTCCTGTACTGAGTACCTTTCAAATGTTGACACATGTGATTCTTACAGTGAGATGCTATTACATTACTCTCATCTTACAGAGGAGGAGGTGAGTTGTAGGTACTTAGGACTGGTAAGTTCCCAAGTTAGGTTTAGCTCATGCTGTCTTTCTTAGAACCTGCTCCTAACCACTCTGCCACATGGTCTTTCAGCTCCAAATCCTTGTCTCCACAGTAGGTCTACACTCTCCTGTGCCATTGTGTGGAACTCAGAGAAGAGGGTTTTTCTGCTCTATCATTTTGAAGGGATTTGTTATAAATGTGGCCTATTACACGCCATCTAAGTGGAGATTGACTCTGGGTCATGATGGCAGTAATTTCAGATGTGACCCAAAGTGTTTGAATTATTTTTCATAAGAACAAATACTAGAACCGCCTCTTTCCACTAGGAAAAAGAATATTCCAGATGGCAAAGAAGTATAATTAGTTAAGTTGGTCTGTACCACCACCTGCTGACCTTTTTCTGGAAAGGATGGGAGAGGGGCACACAGTCAGCCTAAGGGAGCAAACCAGGAAGTCATTCACTTGATGCTGCAATACTGACTTCAAAAGTAAAAGTGTTCATGTGGACCTTATAGATTACTGATGACACTCTTGTTTTTCTCGCCTATTTCAAGAAAATCCTCTTAACATCTGTGAAATAGTATATAAATAATAGGATTCTCATTTTTTAAATAACATCTTTTTATAGTCAATTATGTTAATAATATAAAGATCACATTAAGACCAAATCCTAGTTTTAACCCTCAGAGATGAGTCAGATATTCATGGAAAAATCATATTTGTTTTTTTCAACCCTTAACAAGTGTTGAGTATTAATGCTTTCTTAACTTAGAAGATTGATGTTCAAGGCAAACTTTTTTTACAGTAACAATCATTAAGTGTGATTCAAAGGTCTTTGTCACTTTAATCTATAATGTAAACATGACATTCTGTTGTTAATACTTTGTCAAAATAATTTAGCTTAAATAAAACATGGGTTCTCATTCTAGTTGTGCCCATAATCATCTGATCTACAGAGCTAGTTCCTGTGATAACATAAATAAGACCCCCATCTCAAAAAACAAATGAGTATGGTAATTGCACTAAAGTTTTAAATTTCTTGAAGTCAAATATAGATACACATAGGATAATAGCAAGATTTTCTCCTTTGTTATACAATCCAAATTATTTTCTTATAATTATTAATTCATTAATTTTTGCCTTCCAATAGTGAAAGCTTGTTCATAGCACCTTTCTGCTGAAACCCTTGGGTGTTCTGAGTTAGTGCTTACAACTCCAGACACCTGCAGACCTGGCCTAGTCCTTTGTTTCTGCTACATAAATCCCCTTGTCGAACAGACGTAATAAACTTAGTCTTTTGGTTAATATTTTCTCATAATTATATTCAAAACCACTTGTATGTTTAACTGACATTTCCTTTGGGATTAGTTAGATCTTCAAGTCTATACATAATAATTTAAGTTTGTTTGTAGAATTATATTTTCCAGCATATATTTGTGACATTTCTATGTCCCTTCTCTCTACTTTTTTTTTGCTCCTAACACAGAAATTATTTCTGTGAGTCTGACTATAACTATATACAAGCATAAACGTTTATTAGAAGTATCAGTAATGTGTCTTCTACAAAGGCTTATTTTCCATTTAGTGTTTAGGGTATGAATTTTTGTTGTTTTGGTTTAGTCTTTTAGACAGTGTCTTATTTGGCCTTGAAGTCACTTCCTTGGTAAGTCTGACCTAGAACTCATGATCCTCCTCTGTCTCCCAAGAGCTGGGATTTTAGCTGTGTTGCACTTGGTTCTAGAGTACAATTTTCTTTTACTATTTCTGACTTAGTTTAAGATGCTACCAGAACTATTTCAAGATGATGAGAAGGCCATCAGTCCTACCTCTGCCACCTCTTCAGGGCGCACTCCTCTCACTCGAGTGCCTGTAAAGCCTACCAAGGGCCGACCTGGCCAGACGGCCAAAGAACACAAGAAAACAGTGGGGCACCAGGTGAGTTCAGGGGCTGCTGCTACCAGCCTCCTTCCCTTCAGCTTCCACAACCTTGTGGGCAGGTTCTTCAGCTGAAGAAAGGTCAGTGTTTCTGCTGTGCAAACAATACTGTCCACTTAGATTTTACCCACTCCACACTCATAACTACACCAGCCTTTCCAAAAAATAATTTTCTATGTCTCAGTTCCCCTAGTGCATATCATGTCTCAGACCACTGCTATCTTTGTTTTGTTATTGGTTGTCTCAGTTCTATATTCTTACAGAGCATCCATCAGCTTCCTCAGAGCAAGAAAGTCCCCTCTTCTTCCTGTGGATAATGGAAAATATCCCTTCCTATCCATATCCCTGTGAATAGTGGGAAATATCCCACACGTGCTTGGTGTCTGTACATGGGGGGAGCTTTGGAAGGGAGGTCTGACACTAGTCAGCATAGTGTGTTATTCCTCTGAGGCCTTGTAGATAGGAACAGGGCCTGATGTGGGTCCACAACCTCCAGTCTTGACCCATGTCCTTCACGATGCTTTCTTTCTGTTTGTCCTTCTGCCTATTCTCTGCTTATTTTTTTTATATAATATTAAGAAATCTACACCTTTTTTTGAGCAGAGTTCATACCTTATATAAGTCACATATAGTGGAACTCACAACAGGAAGCTACAGAGAAAGGAGTAGAAGAAAGGTACATGCATATTTAGCAGAATAAACATGTAGAGTTCAGACAAATGTAAACAAAAACCCTAGAACTCTTGTTTAGTAACTGCCCCCTGTGAAGATGACTTTATAGTTTACAAAATCACCTCTATTTATGTCAAAGGAGGAGAATTTTAAATTGTCATTGGCCTTTAAAAACTTTAATTTTTAAAACCTTTTTCATGCAGTTTCGAAACTCCCTTCACCTGCTTATGGAAACCCTCAACGCCACGACTCCTCACTATGTACGCTGCATTAAGCCTAATGATTTCAAGTTTCCATTCACGTAAGTCAAACTGAAATGAGGAGAAAGATTTCTAGGGAAAATCCTCATGTCTTGTATAGGGTATCTACTATTTGATCACGTTCTTAGGTTTTGTTTCCTTTTGGGAACATGAAAACAAATTAGCAGTTAACTCTCCAAGGATTTGAAAATTTGAGGCCAACCAGTTATTTCTGATTCTGTTTTGACTTTATCTCTGTTGGAGATATTTCTGGGCTTTTTGTTAATTTTTACATTAGTTAAAAGCAGGGCTGGCTGAATGAATGCTTCTTTTGCCAAGGCCTACTTGCTGCTTTTTATCTGTTAGAGCCAGAGAACGTATCAAAATCTCATCCTACTTCACATACCAAGTCAGAGGTAAAAATGCATCTTTCTGGAGATGATTTCAAAATACAGATATTCTCTAACTTTAAAAGTAACACATGTATGTTGTTGAGATGGTTTTCAGGAAGGTAGTTGAGAGTTAAGTAGTAGAGAGGTAATTGTCACATGGGCTGGATGAGTTAGCATTCCCTCTTTCCCCGTGTTTGTGTGTGTGTGTGTGTGTGAGAGAGAGAGAGAGAGAGACAGAGAGAGAGACAGAGAGAGACAGAGAGACAGAGAGACAGAGACAGAGAGACAGGGAGAGGGAGAGACAGAGAGACTCAGATTAACAAGGTAGGTTGCTATTTCAACTCCACTCTTAATATCATTGATTGTGGACAGTTCCTAGATTAGTATTTAAAAAACTGCATTATTGATTGAATGACTACAGAGCATCTGATGTTACAGATGATCCATAATCATTTTAAATCATTTAGGTTGTTACAACTATTATTTTTTTTAATGTTTTAATAAAACACAATGCATCACTTTCTTCCCTTCAGTCCCCCCGTCACTCTTCCTGAAACACCTCCTATTTCAGATAACAGTTTCTGTCAAGTATTTTTGCCAAAAATTTCTGTACCACCTTCTTAGGATGACATAAGTCTAGAAGAATTTGTGGGCTAAAGATCAAGTGTATGATTTGATCATTATGCATATTTATTGAAATATCATATTTTACCCCATAAGTAGTACAAATATCATGCCAAATAAGACTTTTTGAATGTATTTTTGAAAGACCAGCCATGAGGCTATAGAGATGGCTCAACTGTTAAGAATACTGCCCTTCCTGGGTACCTGGGTTTGACTCCCAGCACCCATATGACAGTTCACAACTATATTTTAAGTCATTTGACACCTTCTTTTGTCCTCTGAGCCCCAGATATTCAAGAGTTGTACAGATCTACATTCAGGTAAACATTATATATATATGCATATAAAATAAAAGTAAATAGGTAAATTAAAAAAATAAAAAGACACCGGATAGTGGTGGCACACCTTTAATCCCAGCACCCTGGAGGCAGAGGCAGGCAAATCTCTGTGAGTTCGAGGCCAGCCTGGTCAGTTCCAGGACAGGCACCAAAGCTGCAGAGAATCCCTGTCTCAAAAAAAAAAAATCTATGAATGAACGAACAAACGAACAAACAAACAAATAAATAAAAGACTAGCTATATAGACTCAAAGTTGCAGCTCCTATTCTACAGTATATAAGTGAATGTCTGGATGGTCTTGCTGAAACAATGCTGAGAACTTATATTTTGATCAACAAGAATAAGACAGAGACAGGGAAAGCTAGCTGGAAATGGGAAAAGGTTTTGAAACTCCAGTGATACCTTCTCCAACAAGGTCACACACTTCCTAATCCTTCCTGGACATTTCCACTAAATGGAGATCAAGTATTCAAATATATGAGCCTATGGAGGCCATTCTCATTTAGACCATCATGCTTAGGGTGAAATAAATGTGAAATGTAATAAACAAATACATCTTTATTGCTTTGACTACTACCAATGTTTCATATGTTCACAGTAAGTGGCTTGTCGAAAAACAAAGTTGTTGCTTTTGGGGGGTGGTTTTTTTTGTTTATTTGTTTATTGAGACAGGGTTTCTTTGTGTGGTTCTGGCTCTCCTGAAACTCACAGAGATCTGCCTGCCTCTACATAGTTGGTTTTTTAAATTACTGAATGGGGCATGTTTAGTTTGTGTTTCAGTTTCATCAATCTTTACTCCAGGGTGGTCTATGTACTGAGCTAATGAAATGGGAGAATTTTCAGTCAGGCTAAGCCAGAATTGCACACTTATTACAGGATGGGCGAAGTGAGAGAAAATTCTGTCTTCTTTCTTTTTAGTATGCTCTGTGGACTTTCTTATGACACTCTAGTATATGAACCGGGGGAACTATCTGCAGCTCCTTATGTTTGCTGCAAAATGTCTCTTCTCTACTCTTCCATGGAGTTTTTCGTTTTGGTCACTGTTCCAGATTTTGAATGCTTTCTTTTCTAGTTTTTCTACTTGCCTCTTGACAGAAGAATTTAACCCTTGACAGCCTGGGTCTCTGTGGGCTAACAACTTTTGTTTCTTCATACAGATTTGATGAGAAGAGGGCAGTGCAGCAACTGAGAGCATGTGGTGTCCTGGAGACCATCCGAATCAGTGCGGCAGGTTTTCCCTCACGGTGAGCCCACAGTCTTCAATGTAAGGGAGCTTTGTGGATGCAATTCTTGCTTGAATCTTTAAGCTGTTATGGGCTTCTGTTCTAGGTGGACTTATCAAGAGTTTTTCAGCCGGTATCGGGTCCTAATGAAGCAGAAAGATGTGCTGGGAGATAGAAAGCAAACATGCAAGAATGTATTAGAGAAACTGATATTGGTGAGAATGATTTTCACTTAATTGTTTCTGAAAAGTATTATCCAGAGGCTTTATCATTCTGAACTGTAAAAGCCCTGCAAACTTAATGTTAAATATCATAACCTACATTATTGGATTACTTAAGTAGGAAAACACCTTACATAGAGTTCAAGTGAGACTCACTGTATTTACTATGCTAGAAGTAATGTGGATGCTGGTAGCCAACAACAGAAAACTGTTTTGGAAAAGGTTGGACTTAGACTTGAGACACAGCCCTTTTCGATAGTTTGATCATTGTCAACAGAAATGTTCTTAGTATTTAGTTTGGGTGATTCCAGATAGAATTAAGGAAAAGAGCCCATTTTTATGTTAAAGACGAGTAATTCATTTTAAAGATGAGCATGCAGATAATTATTTCTACCTCAAATATTGAGTGAGGACTCGAGATTTGGCTCAGTAGAAGAGTGCATACTAGACTCGAGACCCTTGTAGGGTGGCCCACACTCAACTGTAACTCTAGTTCCCAACGGAGCCAACACCTTTGTCTTCTTAGATACTTACATTTTCATTCACAGAGACACACATGTATGCATGCATGTATTTATGTATATATATGTGTGTGTGTGTATATATATATACATATATATTACTAAAAATCTTAAAATTTAAAAAAAATGACAAAAAATACAGAGGAAGCAGGCAGATATTAAAGGAAGGCAAAATCATATCCAATTGTGAGAAAGAAGAATAATTACATGAGGTGTGGGATTTGAGTCAGGAGCTGAAGAATATGTATGTTTGGATAAAAATATTAAATAGTAGTGGAAAAAATATTAAAAAAATATTAAAATATTAAATAAAATAAAATTTAAAAAATATTAAAAAGTAGTGGAAAAAAAACCAAGATTTGCTGAAGTGGTTGGAGAAATGCCTAAGAGCTCCTGCTGCAGTGGCGTAAGATCGTGTTCAGTTCCCAGCACCCACATTGCTGGCTTGCAACTGTAACTCCAGCTCCAGGAGACCCAACGCCCTCTTCTGACTTATGTGGGCACTGCACACACACAACATACACTCATAGAGACACATGAAAAATAAATCTTTAGGGCTGGAGAGATGACACTGCAGTTAAAAAGCACTTGCTGTTTCTATAGAAGACCTAGGTTTTGTTTCCAGCACCCACATGGTAGCTCACAATCGTTATTCAAGTTCCAAGGGATGCAGCACCTTCTTTTGGACTCCGCAGACACTAGCCATACACGTAGTGAACATTCTGTGCAAGCAAACCACTGATGCACGTAAAACATTTTTTAAAAGGAAACAGTAAGGTGGACTTTCACAGGGTATGAGTTGTGTATGAGACAGTAGAGAATTTATTAGAATAGATAGATGATGGTGCTATATACAGTTGCATGGCAGTCAAAGAAACTCTCAAACTATTTTTGAGAGTAGTCACCTGGAGGGCTTGCCAGACACAGATTGCTGGCCTCCACCCCTAGAATTTCTGATTCAGTAGGTCTGTAATGGACCAAACATTTTAACACCCTTTCCCCCACACTTTATTTTTTTTTTCTGTTCTAGTGATACAACCCAGGACTTTGCATTTACTAGGCAAATGCTTTACCACTGAACTAAATCCCTTATAATTTGTATATTTAACAGTTCCCCAGGCCCTCACAGGACACATAGAAAATCTCTAACCTGAGTCTTGATGAGTTTGAGATTTATGAAAAGATTGTTTAAAAATTAATTTTACTTGTACCTCACTATGAAGTAGTCATAATTACTAGTTATTAATTAAATGTAATACTTCTTTGACAATTTTTCCCCCTTTGAGAGAACTAAGGATCCCATCCCTCTCTAAGAATGTAATGCTTTTTAAGATCTCTTGGGGTTTTTTTTGTTTTTGTGTTTGAGTTTGGCCCAACTCTTTTCTAATTTGGGTTCAGATGGGAATGTGGAACAGAAAGCTGAGACAATCATACATCTGCCTCCTCACCCAGACCACTCAAGGCCTGGATCCAGTGGAGGCATAGGTAGTAGCGAAGGTAGGATGGACAGTGGGAGAGGACCTAGTTAAGGTTTCCATGCAAATGGTAGTAAATAATTTTAAACTTTTCAGATATATGTTACAGTCTCCAATTTTTTAACTTCATGTTTAAAGGGATATATATGTGCTTACAACAAAAACTGAGTTTCTCTATTTTTGCTTAGAATTCCAACACAGTAGTGATTATTGTATGTAAATTGCGCTGTTCTTTTGATATGAAAATGATTAATGATTTACATGCTTATATTTGATGTGAATCACATGAATATCTCTGTCTACAACTCTACTTATGCATAAAAGTCATTGCAATATTAATATTTGTGTTTTATAAAAGAAATTGGCAATCTATAGAAGGATTTTAGCACATTTATGAAGTTGTATTTGTTTTGAAACACTGTTGAAGTCACATGGTAAATATCTAGACGCATACCTTTAACATGAGCACAGGGATGTGAGGGATTGGCCGGTGGTTTGTTTTTGCTTTTTTAACATTTTTATTTTGTGTGCTTTCTTCCTGCCTTATTCTTTACACTGGTTTGTTTGTTTCTTCAGCTGCTCCTGGATTATGCAGCTTGATATAATCTTACAGTGGTCAATCAAAGGGACTGTCAGCACCTCCATTTCCTTAAGATGTTGAAAATTTAAACAAGCAGATAATAGCTGCATAGAACTCACAGCCAGTTTTGGGCCCAGATATTAATTTCAGGTAGAATAATTCTGGAAAATAACTTGTAGGCTACCATTTTCTCTAAAATCCTTTCTATTTATACTTTTTAAATAGGATAAAAAAGAAATCTGGTTTCATTAGTTCATTGAGATGTAGCCCAGGTTAGATAATAGATTCATTCTTTTACTAATTCTGCTTCTAGATTTTCCCCATCTTTAATTTGTTTTATAAAATCATTGTTTCTGTTTATATTTTTCCCTCTAAAATAGGACAAGGACAAATACCAGTTTGGTAAGACAAAGATCTTTTTCCGTGCTGGTCAAGTTGCCTATCTAGAAAAATTGAGGGCTGACAAACTGAGGGCTGCCTGCATCCGGATCCAGAAGACCATCCGTGGGTGGCTGCTAAGGAAGAAATATCTGTGCATGCAGAGGGCAGCCATCACAGTGCAGCGATACGTGCGGGGCTATCAGGCTCGATGGTAGGTCTCCTTATGGCCTCATGGACCTCGGCTAATTCATGGTCCATTCAGGACGAATCTGAATGACTGCCCTACCTGAGAAGTTAGCATCTCACTCATTAATTTCAAAACACAACAAACTAACTTATAAGACAATTAAAAGAATAGAAGTTCACGTAGACTTGGGATAATTCAGATTTGAATTGCTACCAACTTAGAATTTGTATCTCTTTTACTAAAACATGGAAGTTGAAGAAATTGTATATAAATTAAAATAACTATGACTATGAGACAGTTAATCTGACTATTGAGGAGCAATTAACAGAAAAGTTCTAGCAAATAGTTATATTTCAGTGTGATTACATATACAACCAGTTTTAATTTTATGAAGCCTTTATGAAGTTTATGTGACAGTATGGGACATCCTGCTTTTCAAAATTAGGGAAACCTCAATGAAAAAGTACTTCAGAAGCTACACATTGCTGAACATGTGTAAGTAAATATAAATGCTTATTTGTCATGAATATTAGAATAACCATTAGTGAGGTTCTGCTCAGGATACCTAAGACACTGACATTGATGTTTTGCAGTCTTGATGACTGACAATACACCACTATTTTTTTTTTGACCAGCTATGCTAAGTTCCTACGCAGAACCAAGGCAGCAACCACCATTCAAAAGTACTGGCGCATGTATGTGGTTCGCAGGAGGTACAAGATTCGACGAGCTGCCACTATTGTTCTTCAGTCTTATTTGAGAGGCTATTTGGCAAGAAATAGATATCGCAAGGTAAGGTGCTGTTTTCAAGTTTGTTCATGCATTTCAGTAATCATATTTTCTGTCTATTATAAAGTATCATAGGGACTGCTGTGGACAGAAAAGCCATGTGGAGACAACACAATTGAAAAGTATGCTAGTATTGAGTAATTAGATATACTTGTTAACAAGACAATAGAAAATATACTTCCTATTTCCATTTGTTTGAAAATTTGTAAAATTAAAAAAGTAAAGTGAAATAGAAACCATCAGTTTCGTTGCTAAAACCAATAGGACTTATTTTCTCAGCTTTCTGGAGGCCAAAATTCCAAAACCACTCGGCTGTAATCAAGGGCATTCTCCAAAAGCCCAAAGACATTCCTTGTCCCTTCCTGTGGTGGCTTACACTCTGTGCCTGTGTTCAAGTCACATTGCTCCTATCTCTGCTCTATCTTTGTATCATTTATCTCTTACTAAAAATCATGGGGCTGGTTAGATCCCCAGAATTCACACTGTGGAAGGAAAGAGTCAACTCCCACATATGCTCCCCCAAATAATTGGTTTTTTAAAGGTAGTTTTAAATTATGATAGTATTTAAGTCCCACCTTTATAATCCAGGATAATATCCCCATCTCAATATCCTTAACCTAGTTACATCTGTTTTCCAAATAAAATCACAACTACAAGTTTCAAGGATTAGGACAGTATGTCATTGAGACCCATTATCCAGACAGCTACAGAGAAGTAGCAACACAAATAGGTTAAATATGTGACAGGTGGACAGAATAAGAAAAGCTTAGGAGAATTTATCAAGGTGAAAAGGAAATAACTATAATATTTGTATGATTAAAATTACATGAACTGGAATATGGTCCTTTTTTGGTACTCTGTGTGTGCATGTGTGTACGTGCATGTGTGTTTGTGTGTTTTGCAGGCTTATCATTGTATGGGTATGCAAGTTGTGCATACCTATATTGAGACCAGAACAGGATTTCTGTTGTCTTACTTATTACCTTGATACAGAATCTCTCACTGAACATGAAGCCAATAAATTCCCAAGATCAACTTGTCTCCACCTCTCAGTGCTAGGGCTATAGGGGCATGTATCCATGTCAGCTTTTCATGTGGGTTCTGGGAATTCATACTTAGGTCCTCAGATTTGTGTAGCAAACAGTTCTTACCCACTAAGCCATCTTACAAGCCCAACAAATAATCTTTTTTTTTTTTTTGGCATGAGGCACTGGGGTTGAATTCAAGGCTTCATGCATACTAACCATGCATCTTCTACTAAGTCACACTCTTGTCCTGACATGTACCATTTCTATCTTAGAATCCTTACTCTCCTCTGTAGATCACAGATCACTGATGAATCTGTTTTAAAACATGTACTTGGTTTTGTGTGTGTGCATACATGTGTGCCATTGTGTCGGTGCAGGTGTCAGAGGACGACTTAGAGGACTTGATTCTTTCCATCTTGTGGGTTCCAGGGGAAAAACTTTTCTAAAAATTGTTCACATTGTCTCTGCTTAATTGTCTTTAGTGACAAGAAATCTTTCTCATAAAGGCAACCTTTTTCTTCTAAGTTGTATAAAAGTTTAAGAAACTGTCATGACTTTAAAAAAATAAAAGTAAGATTACTTTCTTATATATTTCCTTATGTTTAGCTTTCCCTTTAAAGCTTGTGCCTTTACCTTGACATCCATAACAGATTACTGCTGCATTGGAAGCAACAGCAGGAAGAAATCATACTAGAATGGTACACCTCGAGTGTGGCAGACAAGCCACAACGTTAGACCGAGGCAGGTGGCACTCAACTGGCAGAAGCAGGTAGACCTTCATGGGTTCAATGCCAGCCTGATCTACATAATGAATTCTAGGCTAACAAGGGCCACCCAGAAAGATGCTGTTTTAAACAAACAAAAAGAATGTCACCTTCTGGGTTTCAGGAGTGGGGTCAGTAAGTCATAAGTGACCGTTCTCTAACTCAGGTGTCAGCTTGTGCCCATGACCTCAAGTCCAGGCCCAGTGTATAGTGAAGCAGTGTAGTGGGACAATCTTTTATTTTAATAGCACATAGTTCGTAAAGTACCTGATTCTTAGTTTTGTAAGGCCTTTTACAAGCAGAAATCCTACACCAGTAAGGAACTGATGCATTTTTTGTGTTCTTTGTAAAATTTTTCCTTTTTGCAATCTGGTATTTTTTATTTAAACTGCTTCCAGTTTCATGTATTATTTATAGTTGTGTGTATGTGTAACAAAATATAACTAGAAAAGTGGACATTGAAAGATGATTTGAGAAATGTGTATATATATATATATATATATTTTTAATGATATACCTTTAGATTCCTGTGATATATAATCCACATAAAACACTATTGTTTCAATATTTTGTCCTCTCTAAGTATGGATTCTTAGTTTGACATACATAGGAGCGTAGAGTTGAACTTTGAGTCTAGTCTAGAGACTCAGATTATCTCCATTTTCCTGCAGATACTTCGTGAGCATAAAGCAGTCATCATTCAGAAGCGTGTCCGTGGCTGGCTTGCTCGTACACATTATAAGAGAACCATGCAAGCCATCATCTACCTTCAGTGCTGTTTCCGGCGGATGATGGCCAAGCGTGAGCTGAAGAAACTGAAAATTGAGGCTCGCTCTGTGGAACGCTACAAGAAGCTCCATATTGGCATGGAAAACAAGATTATGCAGCTGCAGCGCAAAGTGGATGAGCAGGTGTGTTTTTAAAGAGGCCCTAAAGCCACAGCACAGCTGAGACCTACAGGGTTGCTTTTAGTGGCCGCCGTTCTGGACTCTGACCCTGAAGGAAAGGAACAGACAGGGACTTATTTTTTAAAACACCCTACTCCAAAACTGTGGATCATGAGCCATATTATAATTTATACTTTGCAGAACTCTTCCTCCCCTGTGTCTTATTTGTATGTGTCTCTTCTCTGACAGCTGTTGGGCACGGCAATGGCCAGAGAAGCAGGAGGATGTACAGGCTTCTGAGGGGCCCACAGTCTACTTGCAGAGAGAAAGCCACTCGTGCTTAGCAGTAGTTACTAAGTGGTATTTTAGTACATGCAAATGATCTCAAGGTAATTAAGAATATGTGAGACATAAAGAAGGGAAGCTACAGAGAAACCCTGTCTCGAAAAAAACAAACAAAAAAATAGCAAGGAGAGATGAATCAAAATGAAGTAGGATTCATCAGAAAGGTTTATGAATGAAATGAGAGGAATTTTAAGATTTTTAGTCTACTTCATTGTTCTTATTCATCTTCTCCCTTGCACATAAGCTTATTTTTTGTATTAGCCCCAAGTTCTGACCTGTGGTAGACAGATACTATCACTGAGCTAAAAATCTCAAGTCTTAAGATAAATGTAGTGGCTTAAATCTGTATTACAGGTATGCAGGAAGCTGAGACGGGAGAACTGCCTCAAAGTCAAGACTACCCTAGGTTACAGTGTGAGATTATGTCTCAAAAACAACAAATAAATACAAAAAGTACAATATTGCATATATGTATACATATCTCCACAGTCTTTTTTTTTTTTCAAAAAGAGGCCTTATTGAATAGCACAGGCTGGCCCTAAAGTTGTGGTCCTACTTCTGCCCAACAGGTAGATGAAATTGCAGGTTTGTATTCTCATACCCAGGTTTAGTACATGATTTTTAATATTATTTGAAGATAGTTTCAGAATCCACCCAGTCCCTTGTCTTTGAATTAATTATTATTTACTTATTTTAACCTTATGTGTATTGGTATTTTGCCTGCATGTTTGTCTGTGCACCATGTAAGAAGGCCAGAAGGTCAGATTCTCTGAAACTGGAGTTACAGATAGTTGTGAGCCCCCATGTGGGTGCTGGAAATTGAACCAGATCTGAAAGAGCAGCCAGTGCCCTTAACCAGCAAGCCATCTCTTCATCTCCTTCCCTTATTTCTGGTTTAAAAACTAGGAAATTGTGGGACTGGAGGGATAGATCAGCTGTTAAGAGCACCGGCTGCTCTTCCAGAAGTCCTCTGAGTTCAATTCCCAGCACCTACGTGGTGACTCACAACCATCTATAGCTGTAGTCCCATGGGATCCAGTGCCCCCTTCTGGTGTGCAAATGTATATATAGACAAAACGCCCATATGCATAAAGGACAAAATAAATCTTTTTTAAAAATTACAAACATAAGAATTCACTGTGAAACTCTAGGATTGCTCTTATTATTTATTATTCTGTTATTCATTTATATGATAAAGAAGCCATTGTTTAGATTATGAAAAGTGCTGAGCAGGTAGAAACTAATGTCATATCCTTTTCTACTTGCACTAAGGAAATGTGTTGTTACTATGCCCTGGTTCTGATGATCAATATTGTTGAGTTGTTTTGGGTTTTATGGGTTGGGGGGGGGGCTTGTTATTGTTCTTGTTTTTGTTTGAAACAGGTTCTCACTGTTTTAGCTCTGGCTATCCTGGAACTTATTCTTTAGATCAGGCCAGCTTTGAACTCACAGAGATCCAGCTATCTCTGCCTACTAATTGCTGGGATTAAAGGAGTGTACCACCACACCTAGCTTAATGTTGTTTTTAAAGCAGGATATATTATGATCATTTTAGTATAGCAAATTTGGCCAGATCCTATCTCAATGCTGTAATGATGTCATAAGAATTTATAAGAATGATATAACATGCCTTTAATCTCAGCACCGCAGAGGCAGAGATAGAGGCAGGTGGCTCTTTATGAGTTTGAAACCAACTTGGTCTCCATAGTGAGTTACAGGCCAGCCAAGGCTGCATATAAGACCCTGTCTTGGTAAAAAGGAATTCATAGCTGAACTTGGTTGTGCACACCTATAAATCTGAGACAGAGGATTATGAGTTCTAGGCTTTTGAGTTACACAAGTTCTGGAGTAGTTGTGCTAAATAGTAAGACCCAGTCTCAAAACAAAATAAAAGGAAAATCCTAAAAGAATGTAATTAACCAAAGCCTGGAAGAATCTGACTAATCACTATGGTTTTCTTACTGCATGTATTTGGTCATTCATATTATAAATATTTATTTATTGTTACTTACATTTGTATTTAAAGAATAAAGACTACAAATGCCTCATGGAGAAACTGACCAATCTGGAAGGAGTATACAACTCTGAGACTGAAAAACTACGAAATGATGTAGAACGTCTTCAGTTAAGTGAGGAGGAGGCTAAGGTTGCCACTGGGCGGGTCCTCAGTCTGCAGGAAGAAATTGCCAAGCTCCGCAAAGACCTGGAACAAACTCGATCAGAGAAAAAATCCATTGAAGAACGAGCAGATAAATACAAACAAGAAACTGAGCAGGTACAAAACAGCATTCTTATCCCATTGCGCCTTGTACAGAGTAAGTCATCCTGGCCTGGTTCATGCGACACTATATTAATTTTAATCAAAGACATAACACAAATTTCAATGGTTTATAGTTTATACTAACATCTCTGCCCCATAATCAACAAGTAGGCTGTAGTCTTGAGGTAAGAACTAGTGAAAACAGAAACAAAACCAGGTTTTAACAATGAAATTGATGTCTATGTACTATTGTAGTTACCAGTTGCTGTAACAAGATGCCTCAGATTAGGTAATTTATAAAGATTAGAGGCTTACATAGCCATATTTCTGGAGGCTAAGAAGTCCAAGAGCATGGTACCAGCATCTGGTGAAGACTTTATGAGTACATCATAATTTCAGGGATCACATGGCAAAGAAGAACAAGTGTGCAACTTTTATAGCAAAACCACTCCCTAAGTAATACATTAATCCATAAATAGGTTACTCCATTCATAAGGGCACAGTTTTTATTACCCAGTTATCTCCCTGAGGTTCCACCTCTAGATATTAACAGTGAATTTAAGGATGTTAAGAAAAAACAATCACATCACAACATTTATTATAGACTCTTTCAGTGTGGACTTCATGAAATGCAGACTCCTTATTCTTGGTAAGTGATGCTGTGATTCTGAGGCAGATCAAACAGAGAACTGTTAGTACCTGAATTTATAGTAGGAATTCCCATGAATATCTGTGTTAAACTCTGTTAAATTCAAGTTGGAAAAATCTAGACAGGAGCTGCTGAGCAGATGGAACTCCCAAATGTTCAGTTTCATCCATGCTTCTGTGCTGTGAATTTAACTTACTTTAAAACTTGTTGAACATGGGAAAATGCAGGGCTTCTAAGTAGTGGTAAAAAAGTGTATTTAAACATTTCTAAAAGACCCTTACAACTGGACTTCCTGAGAGATAGTAATTGATTTGAATGAGTCCACAAGGATCGCCTTCTCTAGAGGAAAACGGGTGAATTGTCAGCTGCAACTAAATAATCCTCACTTGTTTCTTCTGTGCTGGATTCTGAATGGGGACGTAGTATTTTCAGGAAGAGCTTAGCTGAACTGCAGGCAAAATTGTGTAGCCAGTACAACTGCTCCCCCATCATTCGTGGTGCTCATAGTCCATAGAATTCCTCCTACATCTGAGTGAGACCCACTCTATACATAGAAAATTCAGTGCCACTGTGCAGTATCCTTTGTCCTGGCAACTTTGTTCTTGCATAACTTAAATATGCATTTTAAAGGATACCCTTGAGCATTTAAGATCTCTTTTCTTCCTCAGTCTCTGAAAGCTTTCAAGATTCTTCTGGGAAGATGGCTTTCTTCCTTCCTTTCCTTTCCTTCCTTCCTTCCTTCCTTCCTTCCTCCCTCCTTTCCTTTCCTTACTTCCTCCCTCCCTCCTCTCCTCTCCTCTCCTCTCCTCTCCTCTCCTCTCCTCTCCTCTCCTCTCCTCTCCTCTCCTCCCCTCCCCTCCCCTCCCCCC